CGTATACATATATATATATTTATTTATTATTTTATTAAATTAAGAACTTTTTTAATAGAAAAAAATTACAATAAATATAATAAATGAAAAACAATAAATAATATAAATTTTATTTAAAAATAATTATAATAATAATTTTATTAATTTGATAAAGATCAATTAAACTATTTAAGTTATTGACAGTGCTATGATTGGTATCTTTTTATTACAGACTGTACCCATTTGTTAAATAAGATTTTTGGCGGTTTTATAATTAATATGAAAAAAGATTATAGATATATTTTTTCACATTATTTCTTTTACTAATTAAATTTTCATTATTATATTTCTTTAATACTATCATTAGAATCGATTATTGCATCGAAACATTTTCTCTTAAGTATACAAATTTTAAATTACGTATGTTAGTACGTACCACGTGCGTCAAAGGTTTAAACGTTTATGATGTTTTGCTATCAACTCGAAGAAGATCCGCATGAAATATGTTTCTCAACTGACTTTAACAACTTTATACAAATGAATACGTAGACCAATGAAAATCTGTTTTTGATTGGAGGGGTTAACTTATTTAGCTATTATCTTTTAAACTCTTTAACTACTAATTTATATTTAATAAAGTACTGGACATGATTCTTTAAAGTTTTGAAAAATCGATAATAATCTATTGTTTAAATAATAAATATACTATATTATTGTTGTTGTTGTTATTGTTGCTGTTATTGTTATTGTTATTATTGTTATTGTTGTTGTTGTTGTTGTTGTTATTATTATTATTATTATTATTATTATTATTTCGCGTATCTAATTTATCTGAATAATTTATTGTTTTTTGTTTTTTTAAAATAATTATTATAACTATTTCTATATTATAACTATTTAGAATTTTTCAACAATAGAACTTTCAAATAAGCTAAATTTTTTATAAATATAAATTCAAGTTTACATAAGAATATATTATAATATCTTTTATATATTATAATTGTAAAAACCTATTTGTATATTATATTATATTGTAAAAACCTGTTGTTTATTAATTTTATTATGATTTTTTATGATATCATTTATAAACTTTTCAAAAATAAACTGAAATTTTCTTTTTAATATATATTGTATATTTAAAATAAATATATTATAATAATAATATTTAAAATAAATATTTTATTATTGTTAATTATTTTTACAGTGATTAATAAAATTTTATTAAAGTTTTTGAAATTTTTTTTAAGAATAACTTAGAAAAGTTATTCAGTGTATTTTAATTTTATGATTTTTTCAATAATTATTCTTTATATGATATGATTTACCAATAAACTCGCAATAACGAATAAGCACCAATCGAAGAAAGAAGAATTTTGAAAGTGGGGATCGTTAAAGAACTTAATTGTTCGAGAATTGAGAAATTGCATAATATTCTTAAAGTAAATTCTAAACGAGAAACATGAATGGTAAGTATAATATAATAGATAATATATAGTATAATAGATTTTATATTTATTAAAAAAACGACCAAGTTTATTATATTTAATAAAAAAAGAAAAGATATGATTATAAAAAATGAAATAATTTTTTTTTTTATTAATATATTGATATAATTTTTTTTAAACTTTAATTTATTGATATAAATATTAATTTTAAGTTTCAAAATATTTCGTTTCAAAACCATATATACATAGTTGATTTTATTTTATAATTATTGTAAGATATATATAATAATTATTTTAAGATATATTATATTATATTTATATTAAAATATAAAGTTATAATCACAATCTCATTTAATGTGACAAGTGAAAGATTTTATTGTATTTGAAATATTTATAATTTGTATTTTAGAAATTTAGTTTTAAGTTTAGTTTTATAATTATAAAATTAAATTTAATTCAAAATTTATATCATTAAATAGATGAATCCTTTATTTTGATATCATTTTTAATTAATTGAAAAAAATTAAATTTAATAAAAATATAATTATATATATCATATTTGATTATGTTATATAACATCAATAATATAATATCATTAATCATGAAATTATATAAAATTTTTTTAAATGTAACAAAATAACATTCATAATATCTTTATATTTTTATATTATAAAATAATTTTTTTATTATTATTTTAAATTTAATATTGATATAAATATATTGATAAATAATTTAATATTGATATTAATATATTGATAAATAATTTAATATTAATTAATATATTATGTTGTATTATATAAAAATTGAATTAATATAGTTTAAAATTCTTATTAAACATAATTTTTTTTATAAAATTCAATTTACTAATATTAATATTTCATATTTCATTTAATTAGAATATAAATATGGAAAACTCATTATTGAAGGAAAGACCAAAAAGGTATATGAAGTTCTAAATGATTCTACTTTGTGTCTTTTACAAAGTAAGGATTGTATTACTGCTGAAGATGGTAAAAAATTTCATAATTTAAAAGGAAAAGCTGCAATTAGTACAGCTACTACAGCTAAAGTATTTCAATTATTAAATAAAGCTGGAATAAAAACAGCTTTCGTTGAATTGGTAAATGATACTGTTTTTGTTGCCCAAAAATGTCAAATGCTACCAATTGAATGGGTTAGTCGAAGATTAGCCACTGGCAGTTTCTTAAAAAGACATCAAGGTATAATGTATAATATAATATATAATATAAATACACAATATAAACATACAATATGATACAATGTGATAAAACAATAAAAATAAGTCTTGAAAAAAATTTTTATTATGAGCATTTATTTTCAATGTTTTATTTTAATTTTTTATTATTTAGGTGTCCCTGAAGGTTATAGATTTAATCCACCTTTACAAGAAACATTTTTTAAAGATGATATTAATCATGATCCTCAATGGTCAAAGGAACAAATTATTTCTGCTGGTTTTAAATTGAATGAACTCATAATAGGAAAAGATGAATTTGATATTATGCAACATACTGCACTTACTGTATTTGAGATTTTAGAAAGAACATGGGCGAGTAGAGATTGTGCACTTATAGATATGAAAATAGAATTTGGTGTGAATGTAAACAATGAAATTATGGTAGCAGATATAATTGATAGTGATTCTTGGAGACTTTGGCCATCTGGTGATAAAAGATTAATGAAAGATAAACAGGTATTTAGTAAAATTATCCTATAAAGGAAGATAATATTATCTTGGTTTTTATTGATTTTTTATTTTGTTTGTAGATATATAGAAATTTAGATATTGTTACTGAAGAAGATTTAAACACTGTAAAATGTAATTTTAAATGGATACAAGACCAACTTGACCATCTTCTTCCTTTATCTACTAGTCTTGTTGTTATTTTAATGGGATCACTTTCTGATGAAGGCCATTGTAAAGAAATAGCTAAACATGCAAAATCTTTAGGTTTAAAAGTTCAATTTCGTGTTTGCAGCGCTCACAAAGGTACTCAAGAAACATTGCGTATTCTTGCAGAATATGAAGGTACTTATGAAAAGGTATATATTATTAGTTCAAAAAATGAATTATAATTTTTATATATAATATTTTTTATGTATAATTTTTTATTTTTTTATTTTTTAAATAAATCTTAATTTTTATAATTAAATCTTTTAAATTATAACTTTAAACTTATTTTTATATTTTTTTTGTAAAAAAATTTTTTTTAAAATATATTACATATTTA